ACCTCACCTGTACAGTCCCGCCCCTACACCTGTGGTAAAGTAGACCTCACCTGTAGGCTACTGTCCCGCCCCTACACCTGTAGTAAAGTAGACCTCACCTGTAGGCTACTGTCCCGCCCCTACACCTGTAGTAAAGTAGACCTTACCTGTAGGCTACAGTCCCGCCCCTACACCTGTAGTAAAGTAGACCTCACCTGTAGGCTACTGTCCCACCCCTACACCTGTGGTAAAGTAGACCTCACCTGTACATTCCCGCCCCACCTGTAGTAAAGTAGACCTCACCTGTATGCTACAGTCCCGCCCCTACACCTGTGGTAAAGTAGACCTCACCTGTATGCTACAGTCCCACCCCTACACCTGTAGTAAAGTAGACCTCACCTGTACTGTCCCGCCCCTACACCTGTAGTGAAGTAGACCTCACCTGTAGGCTACAGTCCCGCCCCTACACCTGTGGTAAAGTAGACCGCACCTGTAGGCTACTGTCCCGCCCCAACACCTGTGGTAAAGTAGACCTCACCTGTACAGTCCCGCCCCTACACCTGTAGTAAAGTAGACCGCACCTGTAAAGTCCCGCCCCAACACCTGTAGTAAAGTAGACCGCACCTGTTGGCTACAGTCCCGCCCCTACACCTGTGGTAAAGTAGACCTCACCTGTAGGCTACAGTCCCGCCCTAACACCTGTGGTAAAGTAGACCTCACCTGTAGGCTACAGTCCCACCCCAACACCTGTAGTAAAGTAGACCGCACCTGTAGGCTACTGTCCCGCCCCAACACCTGTGGTAAAGTAGACCTCACCTGTACATACAGTCCCACCCCGATACCTGTAGTAAAGTAGACCGCACCTGTAGGCTACTGTCCCGCCCCAACACCTGTAGTAAAGTAGACCTCACCTGTACAGTCCCGCTCCTACACCTGTAGTAAAGTAGACCTCGCCTGTACATTCCCGCCCCACCTGTAGTAAAGTAGACCTCACCTGTACAGTCCCACCCCTACACCTGTAGTAAAGTAGACCTCACCTGTAGGCTACTGTCCCGCCCCAACACCTGTGGTAAAGTAGACCTCACCTGTAGGCTACTGTCCCGCCCCTACACCTGTGGTAAAGTAGACCTCACCTGTACAGTCCCGCCCCAACACCTGTAGTAAAGTAGACCGCACCTGTAGGCTACTGTCCCGCCCCAATACCTGTAGTAAAGTAGACCTCACCTGTAGGCTACATTCACGCCCCTACATCTGTAGTAAAGTAGACCTCACCTGTAGGCTACATTCCCGCCCCTACACCTGTAGTAAAGTAGACCTCACCTGTACAGTCCCAACCCAACACCTGTATTAAAGTAGACCTCACCTGTAGGCTACATTCCCGCCCCTACACCTGTAGTAAAGTAGACCTCACCTGTACTGTCCCGCCCCTACACCTGTAGTGAAGTAGACCTCACCTGTAGGCTACAGTCCCCCCGCCCCTACACCTGTGGTAAAGTAGACCGCACCTGTAGGCTACTGTCCCGCCCCAACACCTGTGGTAAAGTAGACCTCACCTGTACAGTCCCGCCCCTACACCTGTAGTAAAGTAGACCGCACCTGTACAGTCCCGCCCCAACACCTGTAGTAAAGTAGACCGCACCTGTAGGCTACAGTCCCGCCCCTACACCTGTGGTAAAGTAGACCTCACCTGTAGGCTACAGTCCCGCCCCAACACCTGTGGTAAAGTAGACCTCACCTGTACAGTCCCGCCCCTACACCTGTAGTGAAGTAGACCTCACCTGTACAGTCCCACCCCAACACCTGTAGTAAAGTAGACCGCACCTGTAGGCTACTGTCCCGCCCCAACACCTGTGGTAAAGTAGACCTCACCTGTACATACAGTCCCACCCCGATACCTGTAGTAAAGTAGACCGCACCTGTAGGCTACTGTCCCACCCCTACACCTGTGGTAAAGTAGACCTCACCTGTACATTCCCGCCCCACCTGTAGTAAAGTAGACCTCACCTGTATGCTACAGTCCCGCCCCTACACCTGTGGTAAAGTAGACCTCACCTGTATGCTACAGTCCCACCCCTACACCTGTAGTAAAGTAGACCTCACCTGTACTGTCCCGCCCCTACACCTGTAGTGAAGTAGACCTCACCTGTAGGCTACAGTCCCGCCCCTACACCTGTGGTAAAGTAGACCTCACCTGTAGGCTACTGTCCCGCCCCAACACCTGTGGTAAAGTAGACCTCACCTGTACAGTCCCTCCCCTACACCTGTAGTAAAGTAGACCGCACCTGTAAAGTCCCGCCCCAACACCTGTAGTAAAGTAGACCGCACCTGTTGGCTACAGTCCCGCCCCTACACCTGTGGTAAAGTAGACCTCACCTGTAGGCTACAGTCCCGCCCTAACACCTGTGGTAAAGTAGACCTCACCTGTAGGCTACAGTCCCACCCCAACACCTGTAGTAAAGTAGACCGCACCTGTAGGCTACTGTCCCGCCCCAACACCTGTGGTAAAGTAGACCTCACCTGTACATACAGTCCCACCCCGATACCTGTAGTAAAGTAGACCGCACCTGTAGGCTACTGTCCCGCCCCAACACCTGTAGTAAAGTAGACCTCACCTGTACAGTCCCGCTCCTACACCTGTAGTAAAGTAGACCTCGCCTGTACATTCCCGCCCCACCTGTAGTAAAGTAGACCTCACCTGTACAGTCCCACCCCTACACCTGTAGTAAAGTAGACCTCACCTGTAGGCTACTGTCCCGCCCCAACACCTGTGGTAAAGTAGACCTCACCTGTAGGCTACTGTCCCGCCCCTACACCTGTGGTAAAGTAGACCTCACCTGTACAGTCCCGCCCCAACACCTGTAGTAAAGTAGACCGCACCTGTAGGCTACTGTCCCGCCCCAATACCTGTAGTAAAGTAGACCTCACCTGTAGGCTACATTCACGCCCCTACATCTGTAGTAAAGTAGACCTCACCTGTAGGCTACATTCCCGCCCCTACACCTGTAGTAAAGTAGACCTCACCTGTACAGTCCCAACCGAACACCTGTATTAAAGTAGACCTTACCTGTACAGTCCCGCCCCTACACCTGTAGTAAAGTAGCCTCACCTGTACAGTCCCGCCCCTACATCTGTAGTAAAGTAGACCTCACCTGTAGGCTACATTCCCGCCCCAACACCTGTAGTAAAGTAGACCTTACCTGTACAGTCCCGCCCCTACACCTGTAGTAAAGTAGACCTCGCCTGTACATTCCCGCCCCACCTGTAGTAAAGTAGACCTCACCTGTACAGTCCCACCCCTACACCTGTAGTAAAGTAGACCTCACCTGTAGGCTACTGTCCCGCCCCAACACCTGTGGTAAAGTAGACCTCCCCTGTAGGCTACTGTCCCGCCCCTACACCTGTGGTAAAGTAGACCTCACCTGTACAGTCCCGCCCCAACACCTGTAGTAAAGTAGACCGCACCTGTAGGCTACTGTCCCGCCCCAATACCTGTAGTAAAGTAGACCTCACCTGTAGGCTACATTCCCGCCCCTACATCTGTAGTAAAGTAGACCTCACCTGTAGGCTACATTCCCGCCCCTACACCTGTAGTAAAGTAGACCTCACCTGTACAGTCCCAACCGAACACCTGTATTAAAGTAGACCTTACCTGTACAGTCCCGCCCCTACACCTGTAGTAAAGTAGCCTCACCTGTACAGTCCCGCCCCTACATCTGTAGTAAAGTAGACCTCACCTGTAGGCTACATTCCCGCCCCAACACCTGTAGTAAAGTAGACCTTACCTGTACAGTCCCGCCCCTACACCTGTAGTAAAGTAGACCTCGCCTGTACAGTCCCGCCCCTACACCTGTAGTAAAGTAGACCTTACCTGTAGGCTACTGTCCCGCCCCTACACCTGTAGTAAAGTAGACCTTACCTGTAGGCTACTGTCCCGCCCCTACACCTGTAGTAAAGTAGACCTTACCTGTAGGCTACTGTCCCGCCCCTACACCTGTGGTAAAGTAGACCTCACCTGTACAGTCCAACACCTATAGTAAAGTTAGCCTCAAATATGCGGGCTACAACATACATGTATGATGCATTTTATAAATCCAGCCATGGGATCTATTTATAGGAATGTATTGTTTTAAACATACTAACGTTATTTTGTAATAGAAAACGTTTGTTGCTTTGGTTATTTAAAGGCCAGCTGTATAAAAAGTTGTGGGCGTGGCAATGACAGTCAAACCGTTAGCTTTCTAATGGCTGAAGTTCGATTGTTGTTTTTAATACCTTAGTTATAGACCTGCCTATACTATACCATGTAGATCTAGTGTTGCTTAATAAAAATACATTTCTGTAGTGTACGATAAACAGCTGGTTAGTGTTGTGTTATCAAGCTTTTCTATCTCTGATACTTTCCTTTGTTGAGTAATAAACTCAGTAAAACCAGATTGATTTTTTTCCTCTGCTAGATTCTGAATCCGCAAATACATTTGCTTCCCGCATAATTGTATTTTATTCGCGCAGCGGTTATTTTCAGAAAACTCAACAGAGCACGAGGAAATCTATTTTGAGGACTGCCGATTCAACGTCATTTCAATCACGTGACATTTCGCCGGAAATCTCCGAAGATATAAAATGGAGGACTGCTATCGTCTGTGAATACACTGCCATCGCGGAAAAAAACAAAACATTTCTGTCGCCAAGTTGAAGCGACAACACGGATTTACCGGGGGATCAAAGCTAATATGGTTTTTAAAATCATATCATTTACACAATTATTAGAAAGTTGTGTGTCCTATTGTGTACAGGGTGTTACAATTTAAAAAAAATTCTAGCTTAGCGATAGTTTTAGTTAGCTGTCTCCAGCAGAAGTTGTGCCCGTGAGTTACGTTAACACTACACAACAACAATCATAATCGGTTTATGTGTGTTAAGCCTAGTCTAGTGGTGAACTTACAAACTTGTTATCTAGGAAAAAAAAGCAATATAATGGCAGCTTAGAGTAATAATGTGCTTATCCAGTGTTTAAAGTTTAAAGGTCCTCAGTTTGAATTAGTTTTCCTTATTGTGCCTTTTCAAAAACAAATATTGGATAGCTTCAACGATGACTACCCTAACGGATTGTACGATTGGTAGTACTACTACTGACAACAACAACATCAAACCATTGTCCGAAGTGACTGGAGGGATAGTTCAGTCACCAACAAGTCCAAAACCACCACTGCAAACAGGTCCTAAACATAAACTTATATCTGAGGCTGATGTACAAGTATGTCGCCTCAATCATACAAGGACTATTGTGAGCAAAATCATGAACTCTAGGTATCTCAGAAGATGGGAAAGTCACAGAATTGTTTTGGACCATAATGAAATGCGTTCAACAACTGTAAGTTGTCACTTTTTACTCAATATCTTTTAAAAAGCACAATAGATCTAGATCTAGATCTATAATATTTTACAGAAAATTTTGTTCATACTTTTATTAATAATATTAGGCCTACTTAAAGTAAAGCTTCTACCCTCGAGATTCTAGATTATTGTGGAAAACTATAGCCATAGTACTAGACTAAGTTAATTATATGAATACGAGCCGACCCGCGGCGTATCACACGCCGCTATTTAGTTGTTTTATTTTCTGCTTTTCAGTAATTCATAATTTGTGAATTCTACAGTACCAAAGCTGCCACTGAAAATACTTGCTTTAAAACACTATCAGTAGCTCGCTAAGGACGATACCCCCCCTCCTTTCCCCAACCCCTACCCCACACCCCCCGTGAAAGTAAACTCCTCTTAGTTACCTCCCCTAAGTTTAAAAATTTTTCAATCTAAATTATCTGCCCCTAATAGCCGTCACTAAACCCGGCTCTACGATTGTAAACATTTAGCGTGAACCACAGCTCACCAGACCATGTAGGGGTGGGGGTGGTAGAGTGCGAGATTACAGCTTGGTGTTTTCTATCGTCTCCAAGAAGAGAATTATGTATATATAGATGCCTATGAACTGACTAAGCCTATATTTTATTATAAATAGGCAAGATAGGCCATGACTAAAACTAAAGTAATTATTAGTAATTAGACTGAATTAATTAGCCTACTTGTATGGGCAAATATACTTTTTTTATAATGATATTGTGGTTTGAAAATCATGAAATAACATAAGCCCTAAAAATATTATTACAAGTATTAACGAAAACTTCATAATGTAAGAATTACAGGCATTTTATGCTTACCAATGTAAAATTAAATTACATTTAGTTTACAGGTTAGTGAATAAAAAAAAAATTTCTTTTTTTTACAAACCAAAGTACAGCAGAAAATGGTAGCAATGCTAAGGTCCTGCTTTGACAAACTACAATAATAAATACTATCAAAGAAAAAAATCTGTAATACTGTAAATATTATTGAAGTTTGATTTAAAGTGAAAGATACAAGTACACTTGCATTATTCAACAAAACTATATTTAAAAATAAAAAAATCCGTATTTTTATTAAGTAGAAAATGTTGGGGTAAAGTGCAGTAAATTGTTAAGTTCAAGTAAAAATCTACAGAGGTTTAAAAAAAGACAGGTTATATTACATAAGCAGCTAACTGGAATTTTGATAATTGTTTTTGTAGCTTCCAATGGAGGTTCTCATCTTATCATATGTTGGAGTTTTCAGCATTGACATTTTTTAGCTAATTAAATGCATACATCAGACTAAGTCAATTAATTTTCCTCCTGTTTCAACCATCAAAATAGAGAACTTATGTGTTAAAAATCAAACATTAAATTAAATTGATCTTGAATTGAATAAAATAATGCATGTAGAAAGAAATAGAATTTAGGTACTGAAACTGCTGATCAGTTTCAGGTAAGTAATCATGAAAATCTTTCTCTCTCAGTCTTAAAGAGTGCTTGATAATTTTAAAGCCCAAGGAAGATAAAAATTGGATATATAGTTAAGAATAGTTAATGTATTAGGAAGAATACTACCAGCTTCAACCAGCCTGTGATTTTCAATTAATTTATTCATAATATCACGGGTGATGTTTTTGAAAAGGAGGAAATTAAAAAAAACAAAGATTATTGGTTAAAGGCCCATATATTTTAAAAAATCTTGTTGGAAAAGAACTTATTTAAAAGTTTTCAATACGTTAAACCATGAAAGTAATGTGTTTGAATAACACCGCAGGTTAATGTTTCTACAGCTTTCAATAGACCTGGCTTTACAACCAAAACTACTGCACATTTACTTAATAAGGCATAGTGATAGTTGAAGGAGAAAAAAAGCTAAGTGGCTTGTGACTTGGGCTTATTTCAAATCCAGTCGTTAATTTTTTTTTTAATTAGATCACATTATTTTAGAAATTCTAAAAAATAATTGTATATTTTAAAAATGAATTTTTCCCTACTACATGTTGCTTGCACTTTGTAAATATATTGGGTCTTGAACAGTGAAAATGTTAAGATTACCAAATTGTAGACTGAGATTAATTAAGTATGTTAAAGATGGTGAAAGTTACTCAAAACTCTTCTTATGCTTGCTTGCAATTAAGCAATTGTACTGAAACATACTCAATACATTGTGTTTGTACTGGCTGCAGAGGCGTAGAGACCCCTTGCAACACCCGGGGTGAACCATCAGTTTTTGGCTGCTCCTCCTATACACCTCTTGCAAGGTTTAAATAGATCATAAGCTCCAAGCATTATGGTGGCTGATCCTTTGTTGTCATGTCTGTTTTGAATATTGCACTCCAATGTACTGTTTTATTTGAATTATCTATAGGCCTTACCATACAAGCAGCTAATCCTAAACCTCACCATTTTCTATTATAAAATTCAATAGAATCATTACATAGTGAATGGGTATAATTTAAGTGTTTAAAATCAATTATAGGAGCGAAATACTTGCTCCCCAAAATTGTTTTACAAATCCTTTTCAACATCATCTTAGTTTGTTATTTACTTATCTAAACATCTGAACGTTTTCTCCTTAAATCCCCATTTATGTTTTTAAAACAAAATTACAAGCCATCAAATAACAAATCTTGGAGCTTCCATTTATAATTCTTTTTAATACAACTATTCAAATCTAGTATTTAGATACAGAGATGTAGTATAGGCCTATGTTTATTGTATGTCCCTACCCACAACGAAAGGTTTATTGTGACGGCAAGTAGATCTATTCTTGACTACGACCACATTGTCCACTCTAATATTGATTTAAAAAACTAGTGAAAACGACTTGAGCATTGTGCAGGAGGAAAAAGGTTTCTCCATAAGTCAGCAAGGGTAGTGTTGAGTGCGTCATTCGTGTAGGCTCGGACGTTTTGTTTAAATATTGATAACAAATCAGCAGGGTGCAAAACTGTAGGGAAATCTCTGTAATGTTCACACATTGTCACGCGCACAACTGCATTCATCAATTGTTTTTCCCTCATTGTAAAAATGTTTTCTTCAATCCTTTCATCCAACTATATTGCTTCGGAAGTTATGGCTCTTATCTAAAAAAAAAGTATCATAACGAGAACGAAGAAAACTGATAACGGAACCTTCTAGAATACAAAAAAAGTCAGAACATTTGTTAAAATGAATTCTCTTAATAAAGCCTTAAAAAACGCACTCCAGCTATAGTTGTCTAAGATATGGGAGCAACAAGTTGCCGTGTCTGATGTGAAACTTGGGCTACATTTCATCGATGTTTGGCAACATCCGGTTCAGTAACATTCCATTATTTTAGGCACACTGATTTTTGGTCATCGTGCATTTGACTTTCTTAGGGCATACATATAGGCTATTTTTTTTTTTGACGATTTGTTTTTTTTTTTACTTTTGACTAATTAAACAAATGTAAAAAAAATACTGCCATAAAACAAGCTTAAAAGGGGGATTAATTGACCAAAATTTCTTAGATTCCGGCTACTCCCCTATGTAAACTACTATTCCCATTACGATGGAGATCATGACTGGCCATAACCCAGCACGTTTGATGTTGAAAGATGGAAACTGGAGTAGAAGGGTTGTGTTGCATTCAGTGCTTGTGAGACTGTAAAATGAATTTTTTACCCAATATACGAGGGAAGCGGGGCTTGTATCTTATTTCTTTTTGCAACAAAATGCTATGTTTCATCCAGCGTACCCAAAGTACGCGAATACAATATACAGAGATTTTTTTCTGACTGCTGGGCCCGTAGTATTGTATGTATGATATTCTAAATACGGTCTGTCGCGGCTGAACATCCCTTCCACTTGCCTCTTTGAAAATTGTAATATTACTATAAACCACAGTAGTCAATATGCGGGGGATATTAACTTTAATATATTTTATTAAAACTGACAAGAATCACGAGGAAACAATTGTAACAAAAGGTATATACTGTAATATACGACCAACGCAACCTTAAACATGAGAAAAATGGAAGTAACATACAAATACAGCCAACCTGGCTGGTTTATTCACTGCCTGAATAATTTCAATATGCCGTCTCTCAATTTATCGAACATCTTAGATAAAACAGGATTTCGTTGTTTAATCAGTCACTGGTCTACAGCTTCACAGAGGCAGGCTCGGTCTCCTCATACCGATATTTATCAACTGTCTTATTAACGCCAGGTTATCTGGCCCGAAATATTCTCTATGTTAGCGACGTTAATGTATCGTTAAGGAGTCGCACATTTGTACTCCACCTACCAATTAGACGCTAGCTCATTCAAAATGGTCTCAGTGCCAGGAGCGTATCACAAAGAACGGATAGCGTGGATCTATTCATTTGTCTGTGTAAGCAGCTTTGCCTAGTTTAATTAAACACGATACAAAAGATTTACTTTCAACATATCTTTCATTTCCTTATTGAAATTGTAAGGCATCATGACGTAAGAGGCGTAATCGATACTCAACTACATCCCTACAGTTAAAACCAAACTTAGATGTAGTAAGTTACTGACCAGTGATTTAGTACCTCCTTACAGTTAAAACCAAACTTGGATGTAGTAAGTTACTGACCAGTGATTTAGTACATCCTTACAGTTAAAACCAAACTTGGATGTAGTAAGTTACTGACCAGTGATTTAGTACATCCTTACAGTTAAAACCAAACTTAGATGTAGTTTGTTACTGACCAGAATAACCTCGCATTAGTAAGACAGTATATAACTATCGGTATGAGACAGAGCTTGCCTTGATAAACTGTGAAGCTGTCGACCAGTGGCTGATCAAAAACGAAATCCTGTTTTATTTAAGAAACAACCAGCCTTGGGCAATTATTTAAAAATTGTCTTCCTGGTGTCTCTTTGTAAGGCTGGGAAAATTAGCTTTCTATTTTTAAATTTGAGAGATATTTAATGGTTTTTATTTTGGAACTAGTACACATATCTCAAGTCAACATGTGTATTTAAATGACCGTAC